CAAACAGCCAATGAAATTTATATTCAAAAGATGACTGATCATGTTTAGTGACCAGCGTGCTTTTATGTAATTGTTAGGGGTACCAGAAAGGTGTCGGTGATTGTGTTCATTTGCTAGCATGTTTATGCATTAATTGTAGAAGTATCTGAATACCCAGAGTAAACTAAAAACAATTAGACTTGTATTTCATTTGTACCGCTATCTAGCCCATATTTCTCAGCTCATCTTTTACAATGTTTTCTAATCATTTTCTATTTCTAAGCATTTTTATGTAGTGATGTAAATCGCAGTGACAGCAAAGTAGACCAACACTGGAAGTTAGATTCTGCACAAGCCATAGACACTTTTAATCGTAAGATATTAGATTGAAGGGGATTACTTGTAGTAGCAAGTTGTTTTATTTAAAAATTCAGAACATTCTTCCTTATATTGATTCAAATACATGCACATATGATTTAATAAATTGCTTTTTGACTGTATTGTCAAGCAAAATAAACACAAATAACCACTGCAATCTTGTTGATAGCAAAAAAGCCATACAACTTGATTTTGCCCACAAATAGTGTTTTTTCCCGTCATCTTCACGTCTACTGTTCAAAATACATTGGTTACCGGGGGGTACACAGTTCAGTGGAATTACAGAAGAGAATTGAACACTGTTTTGAAGAGCTAAAAACAAGTTGTGTGGTTCTCTCACTCTCAAGTGATCTTGGTGGCCATTTTAGTCTAAAGCTTATTGTTGGAGATGTACAAATGATCTATTCAGGAATTACTCCATCTTCAGTTGTTAAATCTACAAGTCATCCCCATTTGAAGCACCTGCACATTAGTGTTGCTATGTATGCATGTTATATTGTATATCATCTGAATTTATCCTGTCACCACAAATCTAAAATTAAAATGATTTTCATTACCTCTGAAAGGCATAAATTGCACAAAGTGACTTCATTTTTCACTAATTTCCATTTTTTTGTGCTTATGAACTGGGTTTTAAATTTATCGATTGGCCAAGTGAAGAAATTAGTTCTATTGTAATGTTTTAAAATTTTGACAGATTTTAATTGGTTGGGTTTTCTCATTGAACAAGGTTAAATTCAGATTATTGCTTTCATGCAAGCCTGTTAAAGCCTTGTAATGTTTTCTTTTTTGTAATGCAGATAGAATGTTCACATGCATGATATAAGGTTCTTCATCACTCTTTGTTTTTGAGTGAGATTATAAACACAGCATGTTTTAATAGTAAGCATATTTTGTAAGTTAAACTTTGACTCACTGAATATAATTACTAATGGTTGTTACCTATTAACTAAAATTGTTGGTACCATATTACAATAAGTCCAGCACTCAAATGAAAACAAAATAAATGTGCATGCCACATTTCCACCTTGCATAGATCAATTTTAAAGTTATTTGTAAATGGCACTACTACCACATGGGTAGTGAACAATTATCAATTTGTTTGGTTGCACTATCCTTTGTGTGATAATGCACAATTACAAGTTAGTATCAACTGCACCAATCCCCTGCACAGAATAGCTGTAAAATACACTAACAAATTGTGTACTGACCAATCATAGCAAAGGTGGAACAAGCACCAGTTGAATTCACGAATCATAACAAAGGTGGAATAGCCACCTGTTGAAATGGCCAGTCAAAACTAAGATAAAACAACATATGTAAACTGACCAATTATGACAAAGGTGGAACAGCCACCTGTTGAAGTGACCAATCAAAACTAAATTTGGGAAACAATTGTAAACTGACCAATAATAACAAAGGTGGAGCAGCCACCTGTTGAAATGGCCAATCAAAACTAAGATAAAGTAACACCTGTAAACTGACTAATAATAACAAAGGTGGAACAGTCACCTGTTGAAATGGCCAATCAAAACTAAGATAAAGCAACAGCTGTAAACTGACCAATAATAACAAAGGTGGAACAGCCACCTGTTGAAATGACCAATCAAAACTAAATTGGGGAAACACCTTGTAAACTGACCAATTATAACAAAGGTGGAACAGCCAGCCTGTTGAAATGGCCAATCAAAACTAATTGGGGAAACACCTGTAAACTGACCAATTATAACAAAGGTGGAACAGCCACCTGTTGAAATGGCCAATCAAAACTAAATTGGGGAAACACCTGTAAACTGACCAGTAATAACAAAGGTGGAACAGCCACCTGTTGAAATGACCAATCAAAACTAAATTGTGGAAACACTTGTAAACTGACCAATTATAACAAAGTTGGAACAGCCGCTTGTTGAAATGACCAATCAAAACTAAATTGGGGAAACGCCTGTTGAAATGACCAATCAAAACTAAATTTGGGAAACACCTGTAAACTGACCAATAACAACAAAGTTGGAACAGCCGCCTGATTAATTGACCAATCAAAATTTAGTTGGGGGCAACACGTGTTTAATTTACTAATCATAACAAAGTTGAAACAGCCACCTGTTGCATTGACCAATCATAAAGGTACAATGTTAATTCTTAGTCTCTATCACATAGCATTTCATAAAAATTCCAAGCTGTTATTCAAATTTGGA